TGCTTTCCACATTTTTCCCATCTGACTCTCAGCCACATGTCTGGAGTCGTTTTACAGACAAATGGCAATTCCCTGTTAGTTAGCATGAGTATACCAAGTGATAAAAAGCTAAGCGAACTTGATTTGAACAAAAGAAAGGAATTTATTAGTTCTCACTCTTCCATCTCCCAGGGGTGGCTTCTGCCTTTAGCTCTGGCTGGATCTGGGAGGCTCATGTCGTGTCCTTTATCCTGCCCCTGCTTCCCTCTGTGCTGACTACCTTCCAAGGCAGGTGAGGAGGAAGTGGGCAGTGGCAGCCCTAGGCTTCCGTTGTGTTTCTTCCAGAGTTGTGCGTCTCCTGTGTGGGGAGTGCTATTTCAGGCAAAGTTAAAAAGATCATGCCAGCCCTTCACAACTGTTAAGAGTTCATGTCTTGGAGAGGGGGATAGAAGAGGCAGCACAGCCCGCATCCTCTTGTTGGAAGCACGTTGTTACTACAGATCATCTCATGGAAACAGTCTTCCTGAGGCAACATCATGGAACTCACTGCCCTTGATCTTGGTGGCACACGGCCATTTATAATACCCTGAATTTTAGGAAAAGGACCAGTTGGAGCTAAGTGATTTTATATTTAAATAGACTTGCCAGCGTTCCAAAAGACGCAAAAGCGAGGGAGATGTGGCTGGTTTTCCAGGGTCAAGGACAGCTGTGGTTTCTGGCACACAGACAGCTCTGGAGGACACCAAGGCACTCTTGCTCAGTGTGGACTTCCCTTGTGTCACTGCCCCCTTATCCTCTTAGTTTCCCCACTCCCATTCTTCTGTTAGGGGGATCACGGATTCTCCTGGGCAGGTTCGGTTACATTGACTTCCTGTAAACACAGGGCGGCCCCGCGATGCTCTGGCACCAATGTGGGAGGAATCGTGTGTGTGATAAGTGTCACGTGCCTCCTGGAACAGTATCTCCATGCTGAAAGGCCACAGAGGAAGAGCGGATACAATTTCAAAGCAAAAGCAATCTGAGGGTTGGATTCATGGGCATCTGTTACTAACTTCCTTTCCTCCCTTCCAGCCGTGCTCCTCTCCTCTCCCTTTCTTCTTCGTCGGATTATAGGAAATTGTAGATACATTAAATGGCTAACTCCAGAGAGCAGATGCAATGAAAGACTCATGGGATTTCCTTTTTAACCACAAGAGTAGATTTGAGTCCTTTTTCATCTGTTCGCTCATGCTTTTCCTGGCAGAGACTTACATAGTTGCCAGCCTAGGTGGTGTCATCCACATGTCAACCATAGGAAACTGAGGCACAGAGTTGTGAGTTGTCAGAGGATGACATGGGAGGGGGCTGGGCTCAGAATCCCCTGCTGGTGGTGCGTTTGCTTCAAAACTTGCCCCGTCTCTCCTGCACGTGAGTTCAGTCAAGAAGCATTTAATAAACGTATCGGGTGCCTGGAGATGGGAGATGGAGTAGGTGTGAGGCCAGCATCACTGCAGCACCGCCCTGGAGGTGGTGGCGGAGAGAGGTGAACTTCAGGGTCCAGTAGTGTTTCACTGCCAGGTCTTTCGTGTGTTTGTAGAGAGCCCACGGTCCTCCCAGCCTCGGGTTCCTCATTGTGAAGCAAGGTCACCTGTGAGACAGCAGGAGTGTTGTTGAGAACACGTGCAAACGCTGAATAGTTGGCACTTGGCGAGTGCTCAGTGCACGGTCAGCTGTTGTCATGAGAGACCACGTGATTCAGGCCAGAGGGAGTGTGTGTTCTGGAATTAGACAATTCTGCACTTAAACCCAGTTTCAGTGTGGACTGAAGGACACTGGCCAGGATGTTTGTTCTTTCAGCCTTGATCTCATCGTCTGTCACCTGGGAAGGACAATAGGCCCCTTGCAGGTGTGATGTGAAAAAGGGAGAGAAATATATGGTATACCGGAAGTCCCTGGCACGTGGGATGCACTTGTTACCATCACCAAGGCCTGCGTGTATTTGGAAAGTGGGGCAGACCTTCATACAGGAAACAACTAGAAAACTGCCTGAGTGTTTAGAAGGAGCCCAAGTGTGTAAAACTGTGCAGAAACTCAGAGTAGGGGATGGTGAGGATGGGCCAGAATATTTGGAGAAGGCTTTAAGGAGGATTTGGAGCAGGATGGGGCCTGGGCCAGAGCAGTGGAGTCACAAAAGGGAAGTGGGCTCAGACCCAGAGCCCTGGGACCCTCTGGGCCCTGTGACTTCATCCTCACTAAGCCCCTTACACTTCCTGCCTTTATCCTCCGTACTTGAGAACCACCCTTACCCATTTCCCCTGCACGTGTGTGAGCCCCAGACTCTCCAGGTGGGCTCTGGAAGCCAAGTTGGCAGCCTTGAGGGCAAGGTGTTGAAACAGATTTCCACTAGGTCTCCTCTTTCCGCCTAATCAGCAGAGCTCAGGCAGGCATCCTACAAGCTGGTGGAACAAACTGGAACTTCCTTTTGATTACCTGGGGGAGCCTGGGGTGCTCCTGGCTTTCTGAATCTCAGAGACTGACATTTCTTTCTGTTTGTTTGTTTCTTTTATTGTGGTATAGTTTATGTACAGTATTATGTAAGTTTCAGGTACACAACATAGTGATTCACAGTTTTTAATGGTTTTATAGCATTTATTGTTATTATAAAATATTGGCTATTTTCTCTATGCTGTACAATATATCCTTGTAGCTCATCTATTTTATACATAGTAGTTTGTATCTCTTAATCCCCTACCCCTATATTGCCCCTCCCCTCTTCCCTCTCCCTACTGGTGACCACTAGTTTGTTCCATGTATCTGTGAGTCTGTTTCTGTTTTGCTATATTCTCTAGTTTGTTTTATTTTTTAGATTCCACATGTAAGTGATATCATATAGTATTTGTCTTTCTCTGTCTGACTTATTCCACTTAGCATAATACCCTCCAAGTCCACCTGTGTGGTTGTACATGTCAAAATGTCATTCTTTTTTATGGCTGAGTAGTATTCCAGTGTGTATATATATATATATATATATATATATATATATATATATATATATTATATATCTCCT